TAAAGATTGATTGCTTTATTATTCATATTTTAGTGTAACTATCAAAATCCTTTAACTATATGAATTAATCAAGTTTTATAAAAACAATAGATACTGTAACGTGATAAAACCAAACTTCTCACTCTTATTTTATATGTAATTTAATATTACAACTGCTAATTTTTGTTGTTGTTTTTTCTATATACATACATGTGGTCAGTAACTTGCTATATTACCTTTTCCATTAAGATCAGTAACTACTGCTACTTTCACAAGTGGAGACAAAGTTGTATCTGGTAGTGATGACCGGACTGTAAAAGTATGGGATTTAAAGAACATGCGATCACCTTTAACAACAATACGATTAGACTCTCCAGTTAATAGGTAATATACTCAGCAAGAATAATGTCATAGTAGTTTTTGTGTAAACTTGTTCATTCAAAATGATCTGTTATTGGGTAATTTTAAGTGTAAAATGCATGTAATTGCAACATATCATTTGTTCTTTTTCAAACTTTCAAAGATACTTTACTGTTTATTTACCAATTGTGTAAAGTTTTTAATTTCAAATTTTCTGAAAGGTTTTTTAACCTTAGCTAGCAATGGCAGAAAAAGTAATTCAAACTATTTTTATATAAAAATATATCATTGTAAATATAACATCTATAAAATCTGCTTGAAGTGTCGTAAATGATTTAATTCAAGAGAGAGAGAGAGAGCAAGTTTGTGTTAGATATTTAATTTTATGTAACAATAATATTTAACAAATATAGCTTGAATTAATAAAATCTGAAATTCTTTTTTAATTTTCTTAATCAAAGTTTTGTTCTTGACAGTGTGTTGTGCACTGGGATATATATATTTTACCAAAAAATAACTCCCTTCAAGATCCATAAATGTATTTGATTTGTGTAAGGTTTTCTATGTATGTGTGTGTGTGTGAGTCCCTAGAAAGCCATAATGACAAAAACTTTAATAAACAAAAAAATTGTTTCTTTTATTCTAATATACTGCTTGAGAACACAGTTTTATTTATTACCCTTCATGTGCTGATTCAGGTTAGCTGTGTCGAGCCAACATGTAATCGCTATTCCTCATGATAACCGTCATATTCGACTGTATGATGTAACAGGAGCTCGCATAGCTCGTCTTCCTCGTGGGAACAGACAGGTAAGGTGTAAATGATCTATTCCATATACACTGATTGGTCACAAGTAAATAGACACCTAATTTTTCATCATTTAACTGATTTATGCTAACTAATTTGTGTTCACAGAACACTATATAAATGAAAATGGTCTGCACACTAATTATCTTGTGTTACAACATGCCTAGAATTCAAGGTTCTCTCGAATTGTCAGATTTTGTTAGAGGAAGGATAGTTGGTCAAGCAGATGGTGGAATAAGTCAGCGGCAAATTTCGCATAATTTGGGAATCCCACTTTCGACAGTCAACAGAATCATCATGCAGTTCAGGAAACACGGCAAGGAAACAACTGAGCAATGTCCGGGTCATCCTGGTCCATCGGAGAGGACAAAAAGGGCTGTCAAGAGGAGTATCGAAATGGATCTCCTGACATGAACCCCATCGAAAACCTCTGGG